CACCCGCCGCGGCCATTCCCCGGTCCCTAAATCGGGGGCAGCTCTTCTAGAGGAAGCGGTCTTGGACCGGCAGAGTCGTCGCTAGAACCCTGGACTGGGCTACCTGGGGGGCGGGGAAGGCCAGAAGCCCAGAGTGGCCTAGGAGGGAGTGGGTCGGGGATCCTCCGGCACAGAGACAGAAGCAAGGGCAGAGGGGGAGACAAGGCAGCAGGAGAGAAACAGATCGCAGAAAGATGGAGCGAGACCCAGAACTGAGAGTCACGGAGAGGCGAGTGAGAGAAAGAGGGGACAAGCCAAGGGGTGACCATTCTGTCCCCGTTTTCATCCGGCGACTACGGCAAAAACAGCTCGGGGACCCATCCAAGTCCTGGGATTCCCAGTCCGATGGCTATTTCGTTCGAGGCTGTGGCTTGTGCGTGCGCGTGTGCGCGCGCGTGTGGGGGTGGTGGAGGCGGGCCCATCACCCAAACCCAGCGAGAGGGCGCCACTGCTGTCTGTCCAGGTGCACCTGCGGTTAGGGCTCCTCAAGCAGAGTGGGAGGGAGACAGACCCCACTGAGAACCTAGCTACCTGCTCCCCACAGATACACTCACACGCACTCTTGGACAAAAACACAGACAAGAAGATACACAGACAAGATGCTAGGGACATGTCTGTGACCCTTGACCACAACCACAGACAGAGACCCTGAGATATTCAGAACCACAGTCACACCCAGAGAAACACAGATACAATGATGGGCACATGTACATACAGGCATGCGTGCACTCACGTTAGCTCCCAGCCACAAGGACCTTCCCCCCTTTACCCCTTCAGGGCAAAGATGTTCTCCAGCAGGAGACCTCTGCCCCTCCATCCCTCTTTGTCCCCTGGGTCCTATCTGCCCCTTCCTGGGCTTTGCCCCTCTCTCTGCTCTCTTCTTGCTGTAACTGCTCCTTGGCCCTCTCTTACCTCTCTCCTTGGTCCTTCCATCCCTTCCCGGCCTCTTCTGTTCTCAGCCTTCCATCACCTCCCATCCTTCCCTCTCTTTGTCCCCTCTGTTCTCTGCATCCTCTCCTTGGGCTTGCTTGCTCAAGATCTTGGAGCCACAAGAGGCTGCACCTCCTTCAGATTCTTCTGCGGACTGAGACCAGGAAGGAGTGCAGGCGGGAAGAAGTTCCTGTGAGCCCTGATGACCCTCACACCCAGACTTGAGGCAGAGCCTGGTGATTCAGGCAGCTCAGGCTCAGCCACTCTGGGCAGAGTCCAGGCGTTTGCCAAGGTCAGGCTGTCTTCCAGGCTCCTCAGGGCTCGCCTTGGCTCTCAACCCGGACCTGGTTCCAGCAGCCTCTGCCACTGGCAGTGCCCAGGGTGACTCAGTCTAGCCAGTGGGGGCTTCTATCCCTGCTGTGGCCTCCTGCCTCTGCCCCTTGTGGCCCACTCAGGGCCAGTCCCCATCACGGTGGAGCTGGGGCAGGACCAGACCTAATAGGAATTTATTAGCCCTTTCAGAGAGAGAGAGAGAGAGAGAGAGAGAGAGAGAGAGAGAGAGAGATGGGAAGAGGCAGGTGGCTTAGTGAATCCAACCCCTAGTGCTAGTGTCTGCACTCAAGGACAGTTTCAGAATGAGATCCTGACCCTCATCTTACCAGGTACAGACTCAGAGACCCCCCTCTCCTCCGCCTGTCTTCAGAACACAGTCAGGCTGTCACATATGCCCACCCCCAATTTGCCCAAATGAACATCTACCTCCGTGAACACCTTCCCACTCTTTCTTCCTTTTCTTGAGTTCTCTGACCCAGCTACAGAGCAGTTTAGAGGAGAAAGCCCAGAAGTCACAGAAAGCTCTGCCCTTGTCTGGTCAGTCTCTCCAGGGCAAAAGAGGCCATAGCAAGCAGGCAGCAAGCATCAAGGCAGAGTGTCCAGGCCTCCATATCTGTTGTTTCATAAAAATGGACACATCGGCAGTGACTCTTTTTTTTTTTTTTTTTTAATTGGAGTCTCAC